TGTAGAGATGAGGTCTCGCCAAGTTGCCCAGGCGGGTCTCGAACCCACGGGCTCAGGTAATCCACTCACCTCAGCCTCCCAAGGCGCGGGACTACAGGCTGAGCCACTGAGCCCGGCTTTAATATTCTTAAAATAAAACTTAAGACAGGACATATAACCAAGAATTCTCACATGATTTTACACCTTTGAGAAACCATATATCTTAGAAAATAAAAGATTAAAAAATGAAGATTGAAATAACTCAGAAAATAAGGTTTTAGCACATTACTTTTCCAAATGCAAACTTCATATCTTACTTGCTACTACTTACCTTGGTCAACTGGGTAGATATCCATTGTGGTTCATATTCCTCTAGCCCTTATAGATGGAAAGCTTCTTACTGAAGTCTCAGCAGGGAGCAGTGTATATGCTTGTGTAGAAATGACATCTGCTGTTTTAGAGATGGGAGGTAAACAAGTAATTCTGCTTATTTCATCACAGAGGAGCCCAATGGAGCAGGTCTGCAAGTGACAATCACAGTAATGGAATTAAGCTCACAGTTTCTTTGTTTCTGAGAGAGTATTTTTAAACTTTGTTTTGAGGTTAATTTGCCTTTTCATAGTCACATTGGATATCTCAAATCATCACCTTATTGTATTTGAAAATGAAATCTCTATAGTAAAATTTACCCATATTTCAAAATTAATTTGATTTTTCAAATTTGGGATATGCTCAATTGAATGCCCAGGTTTATTCTAAATTCCTTTAATATTAAGTCAAAATACCACTTTACATTTAATTTGAGGATTTTTTTTGATGAAGAATTTGCACTGTTTGGCATTCAATATGGATGCAAACACTAAGTTACAAATTTTAAACTTTTCTGCTTTAAAGTAATACTTAGTTGGAAGCTTTTATAAAATGCAGTTTTTCACAACAGAAAATTTAAAACTATTTTCTTGTGATATTCAAATCATTTTATTTTTTTATTGGCTTACAGAGGCAATGTTCTTTACATGTTTTAGTTTGACGGGAATAGCCTATTTCTGCCATTTTTTAATAAAATAATTTTCATGTAAAGAAACTGTTTTTAGCTCAGAAAAAAGAATTGTGATGCATGTATAAAAAAGTTTAAATGGATCATGAGGATACTCTCATTACTGCAGAGTTAAAAAATGCTTTACACTATTTAAACCATTTTGATCTTTAAGAAAATGCAATTTTAAAATATGAATGCATAGCTATTTCCTAATGCTAATGATATACTCAATGGGTATTCCTGCATTACTGCTCTAAAAGTTATTCAAGATTTTATTTACTACGCACATATTGCTTTAGATATATATTTTTGTTCCACATTAATTTATTCTACAGTCACTTTCAACTCACACCTGAAAGTTTCTATAGATGTAGAGGATTTCCGATAGATAACTGCTTCTCCTAGCAACAAGAAGCTCAAGGTCAGATGACTTTATTGCTTAATGTGACTATACTTTTAAAGAAGAACTAACACCATTTTTTTCTCAAGCTATTACCAAAAGATGGAAGAGGAGGGATTCTTCCCAACCTATTCTCTTTGGCCAGCATTATCCTGGCACCAAAGTCAAAAAAAGGACACATCAAAAAAAAATACGACAGGTCAATATCTTTAATGAAGCTAGATACCAAACTCCTTCGCAAAATACTAGCAAATTGAATCCAACAACACATGAGTAAAACAATACACTATGATCAAGTGGCTTTATCCTAGGAATTCAAGGATAGTTTAGCATACACAAATTAAGAAAGGTAATACACCATATTAACAGAATCAAAGACAAAAATCATACAACTTCTAAACAGATTACAAAAAAAGCATTTGATAATATTGAACACCGCTTCATGACAAAAACACTCAACAAATTAGTCAGAGGAGGAACATTTCTTAACACAATAAAGGCCACATGTGATCAGTCCACACCTAACATCATTCTAAATGGACAAAAATCAAAAGTGTTTTTTCCTCTAAGAACTAAAACAAGACAAGGATGCCCACTTTTATCACTTTTATTCAACATAGTACTGGGAGTTCTAGAAACAGTAATTAAGCAGGAGAAAGTGCATTCAAACTGAAAAAGAGGAAGTCCTATTGTCTCTTTATTGCAAACGACATATTTCTATTAATAGAAAAAATGTTATGACTCCATCCTCCCCCCCAAAAACCTCTTAGAGTTGATAGATGAATTCAGTGAAGTTATAGGATAGAAATTCAACATACAAAGCCCAGAATCATTTCCATACATAACAAATTAGCTGAAGAAGAAACCAGGAAAGCAATCCTACTCACTATAGCTACAAAAAACAAAAAAAAAAAAACCCCCAAAAAACACACACACAAAAAAACCCCACACTACTTGGAAGGCTGAGGCGGAAGGATGGCCGGAGCCCAGCGGGTCGAGGCAGCGGTGGCCGGGAGCGGCCACGGCACTCCAGTCTGGGCAACAGAGTGAGACTCCAACTCAAAAAAACAAACAAACAAACAAAAAAAAAAAACCCACAAAACAAAACAAACAAAAACAAAAAAAATCTTGGAGTATATTTAATCAAATTCATTAAATATTTCTACAATAAAAACTATAAACTCTGGTGAAAGAAATGGTAGGGACACAAAGTAACTGAAACCATGGATTGAATCCATGGATCTATGCACATGGCTTTTAAAAATTAAAATAGTTAGAGTGACCATACTGTCCAAAGCAACCTACAGAGTCAATGAAATCTCTAACAAAGTATCAGTGAGACTCTACACAGAAATAGAAGAAAACAAAATCTTAAAATTTACATGGAATTACAAAAGATCCCACATAGCCAAAGCAATCCTGCACAAAAATAACAAAGCTAGAGGCATTACACTCACTTCAAGATAAACTACGAAGCTATAATAACCCCCAAAGCATGCTATTGGTATAAAAACAGACACTTAAATCAATGGAACAGTATAGAGAACAAATAAATCAATCCACATATATACAGCCAATTGGTTTTTGACAGTGGCACCGAGAACAAGCATTAGGGAAAGAACATACTCTTCAATAAATGATGATGGGAAAACTCAATATTCATATGCAGAAGACTAAAACTAGATCCCTATCTCTCATTATATTAAAAAAATCAACTCAAAATTGATTAAAAATTTAAGTGCAAGACCCAAAACTATAACACTACTTGAAGAAAATATGGAAGACATTCTTCAGGACATCTGTGTAGGTAATGATTTTATGAGTGAAACATCAAAGGCACAGGCAACTAAAGCAAAATTAGACAAATGGGACTAAATTAAACCAAAAAGCTTTTGCACAGAAAAGTAATTCAATGAACAGAGTGAAGAGACAATCTATAGAATGGGAGAAAATATTTGCTAACTATTCATCTGACTAAGGATTAATATCCAGAAGATACAGGAAACTCAAGCAACTCTACAACATAAACCCAAATAGTCCAACTTAAAAATAAGCAAAAAATCTGAATAGACATTTTCAAACTTTATTTATTTATTTATTTTAGAGTTGTGGGTCACTGTGAGGTTTTGCAACATAAGTAACTAAATATCGGTGAGATTTGGGCTTTTAGTAAACCCTTTCTTTACCTGGTAATGGACATGGTACCCAAAGAGTGGTTGTGTGTCCCTTATCAATCTCCCTCCATCCTTTAGCAGTGTCCATATTTGTTTTTCCCGCCTTTATGCTCACATACCCAATGTTTAGGGTCTGCTTATGAGTGAGAACATGTGGTATTCAGTTTTTGTTTCTGTGATAGTTCATTTAGAATGATAGTCTGTTTCCAGCTGCATTCACGTTGCTGCAAAGGACATTATTTTGTTTTTCTTTATGTCTACATAGTATTCCGTCATGTATATGTACCATATTTTCTTAATCCAATACACTTTCAATGGGCTTCAGAGTTGGTTCCATGGTTTTGCAATTGTGAATAGTAATGCAATAAACATACGTGTGCAGGTGCCCTTTTGGTAGAGTGATTTGTGTTCCTCTGGATTTACTCCCAGAATTGGGATTGCTGAATCTTATTGTAGTTAAACATTTATTTCTTTGAGAAAATGCCACAGCACTTTCTATAAAGATTGAACTAGCCTACATCCTCACCAACAGTGTAGAAGCATTCCTTTTTCTCTGCAGCCTTGCCAACTCCTGTTTTTGTTTTCTTGTTTACTTTTTAGTGACAGCCATCCTGACCAGTGTGGGGTGATATCTCATTGTAGTTTTGATTTGCATTTCCTGATGATTAGTGAAGCTGAGCATATTTTTTATGTTTGTTGACTGCTTGTATTGATACAGAGACCCACTAATGTCCTTCCATATTGTCACAGCCTCTAGAGAAGGGCATGGCAGGGATTCAAGCCCTCCTGCACATTCCTGAGAGGAAGCACATTCAAGCACCCCTGCATATTACAGAGAGACCCCTTGTCTTCCATGCACTCCCAGTAAGTAGCTTCAGGGACCTCTTGACTTCCCAGAAAACTATGCCCAAAGATGTAAATCCCCATTTGCTCCCTTTCTTTGAACTAAATAGTATCAATGTAATTATAAATCTTGTGATTTGCATAATTCTTGCAATGAATGATATCTTAGGCCTTTACTCTAATGTCACTATCTAAATGAAAAATGCAGCTGTCATTTAAGTTCTATACATTGCTCTGCTGGTTGCATGACTAATGTATAGGTACCCACAGCTCTGGACTATAAAAGTGAACTGTAAAAGCCTAGAGAGTGAGCAGAACCATTTTAAAAAGATCTCTAGTCCAGCTCTGCTCCCTGGATTTGAACTCCGAAATAAACTGCTTTCTACCAGCTGCCTGCCCCTATGATTTATTGGTATCAAGAGGAGCAGCTGAGTGTTACTCGGACCGTAACAGTATGTCTTCCTTTGAGAAGTGCCTGTGCCTTCTGCCCACTTTTTAATGAGGATATTTGTTTGTTTGTTCCTGTAAATAGACACTTTAAAGTGTATTTTTAATGATCCAGCAATCCCATGACTCCAAAGAAAATAAAATTAATATATCAAAGAGGTATGCAATGCACCCCTATGGTTTACTGTAGCTTTAAGCACAATAGCCAAGACTTGGAATCAACCTATATGTCTATCAGCAGAAACATGAATAAAGAAAATGTGGTATATATACACAAAGAAATCCTATTTCTCTCTCTCTTTCTCTCTCTCTATATATACATATATATGTATACATATATATTTCATATATACTATATACAAAATCCTATCATTTGTGGTTTAAAGGAAACCAGTGTTACCCCATGGGCCTTCTTGCTAATTCTTTGGTCATAGAGCTAAAAAATGCCAGAGTTAATGTTCTTACCTGGGCAGTGAAGTTCTAGAAGTCATACTCAAAATCACTATGCTATATTTTTGGCAGGTGAAATGTTTTCAGGATTTGGTATGAAAGAGTTCTACTCTATAATTGATTATTTTAGGTAATAAAATTTAAACAGACTTCTTTAATAGTCCAATT